TACACAAGGAATTGATAGCAGCAAATGCTTATGTTTATTGATAGAATTAGAGCACGTTTTTTAGAAGGTAGCTCATATGATTGGTTGAACGAGCGTCCTCCAATCAGGTAACCGTCTGCACCGACGCATCATATGTACTAACTCGGATATCATGTTCGCCCGGTGTACCATTGGTCAAGCTTCTTGAACGGCGATTGGATGACATAAAACTGTACCTGGTCGTGCATGGATTGCGGTCACGGAAGTCTGGATAACCACAACTCTCTTCTCTCAAGAGTGCCTCGTCAATCTGGCTTGCCTGACGGCTGGACTTGCGGACTGGAATCGTTCCTGGTGGTGTCCTTGCGTTTCGATTGGTTGTGTCTGCGCATCTGACTGATGCGGCTCCGTCGGTTTTGTTGATGGGTATGCAGTTGATTGTCTCTCTCAGTTGTCTCTTGATGCCACTGCTCCGTGGATGGTTTGAAGTGGATTTGGTCCACATGTCACTTGTGCACAGTAGCATCCTTCAAGCCGGTAATTTCCACCATGGTTCGACCCAGTTGTCGTGTGATTATACCAGACGTGGGTCGCAACGCATTGCCACTGAAATATATGACGTCACTGGAGTCGAGGCCCTGTAGAAAGGATCGCGAACGTCTCGATTTAAAAAGCACTGCCGAGCTCTCCTTGGTGGTTGTATGTGTTGAGTTTCGGTATTGGAGTAGGAAGTTATCCACCAACATTACGAACTCATGTAGCGTTTTAGGATTGGCAGAAGCAATCGCATTGTTGACCTTTTTGACTAAATCCTCTGCCGCTCCGTTCGAACAGGTGTGACGTGGCGCATTTCGAAGATGTCGGTAACCGATGCTGTTTATCCAAAGCTTCATTTTGGTCGCACAGAACTGAGATCGATTGTCCGTCACAAGCACTTGTGGAATCCCTTCGCGACTAAAACTTCCGTAGAACTTGTATCACAAATGATATGGTAGGCGTAGTCGTAAAGAATACCTCTGGCCATTTGGAGTATAAATCGATCAGAACAAGGGTGTAGTACCGGTTCAGAAATGAACCACAGAAATCCAAATGAACCCTTTGCCATGGTATGTAACTTTCCGGCCATAATGTCCAGATTTTCGGCCTTTTTCGTAGTTTATGACTCACAGTTCTTGTCTGTTACGTAAATGTTTGCGTCCAACTTCGGCCACCAACACATCTCTCGAGCCAATGATTTCATTTTCTACATCCCATATGTCCCTTATGCAATTCTTCTAGTACCGTCCTCCGTAGTGGCGGTGGGATTATCAATCGATCGTCGCGACACATGATAGGACAGGACAGGACAGTTCACAGGACTAGCGGCTTGAGCCAGTAAGGTAGTCCAGGTTCTTGCGTTTACGGGCCACGGGTGTCTCGTAACGCTACGACAGTGGGTTGATCGGTCCTTGGTGTTGTAATGGTACTGCCGCGGAGCAGGGACGCCAATCCGGTTTGCTGTCGATGAAAGCAGCACCAACCGATCAGTCACAGGCTGACCAGGAGGTCCGAGTACCCCTCCAGCAAACAGTATAGAACCTTCAGGCATGCGAAAATGGGTTTAGGTGAGAAAAGAAAAGTATGTTAGTACGGGGAGGACGGTGCGGAGAGCCGGATTAAGACAGGTGAGGAGAAAGTAATCGAAGTGTAAGGGATGATCTAGTTAGTAAAAAAGAATATGTGAGGGGACCTGTTCTAGAGAAAGTTGGAGATGTAATTACCACCAAGGACTGTCAATCTTTTTTCCTTAGGCTGATTCGGGGAAGACTTTGTCCCACACCCCATCAAGCCTTTTTTGAAGAGTTCCACCATGGATACCCAGACAACCTCATCAGGAAGTCTGTTCCAGGCGTTGACGACTCTATGAGAGAAATAGTTCGCTCTTCCTCTTCTTAACGCCCGAGGTTTGGCCAGCTTCAGCTGGTGTCCTCTTAAGGCTGGGTTTTCACTGAGGGAGAACAGTTGCCTGCTAGGCTGTGAGAGCCCTTTCAGTATCTTTAAAACCTCTATTAGGTCACCTCTCATTCGCCTGTGAGAAAGGGAGAACAAGTTTAGCTCCCTCAGGCGCCTCGTGTACGGCATCGTCCTCAAGGCAGGAAAAAGCCTGGTGAAGTGTCTCTGTACTTGTTCTAGAGCCTTTTGGTCACGTACAAGTTTTGGCGCCCATGCCTACACGCAATATACCATCCAATTGTACTGACAACTCCTCTCGGTGAGCAAAGATTTGAGGATACTTTCTATTTTCTTCTGGTGACCACCCTTTCTTGATCGCTGGGAGTATGGCTGAGTAGTACTGTTTGGTAGATTTGTGTAAAGATTCCCGAGACACTCGTGATGCTGGGGATATGAAATGACACTGTTCTTGAGTAGCGAGAGAGAAAATCAGCCTGCTGGATTGTCTTTCCTGGACGACGGTGGATGTCTTAGTTGTATGCGGCTAGAGCGATGCTCCACCTCTGTAGCATAGCAGCAGTGGACTTCGCGATGGATTCGTTGGGTTTGAACAAGAACTGTAGCGCTTGGTGATCAGTGATGATGGTAAACCGCAAATCCGAAAAGGTACTTGTGCAATCGTTGAACAGCCCAAAATACAGCCAACGCTTCTCTTTGAGTCTGTGAGTATCCGTTTTCTGCCGCATTGAGTAGACGTGAAATGCAGATCACTGGGCATCCTTCTTGTTCTAATACAGCACCTATTCCGACGTTGGACGCATGCGTGAGGAATGTGTTAGGTTCTGATGGTGAAAGCAAGGCCAAAGCAGGACGATCAGTAACGCAGCGAATTAAACCACTTAAGATATCTTCACACTCCACCAACCATTCTCAAGCCTCTTAACACTGCGTACGGAAAAGCGGCTGCACCCTTGCGACAAAGTTCGGGATAAATCGGGAATAGTACTGTAGGCATCCCATCATGGATCTCAAATGAGTTTGATCCTTTGGAGATTCGATGTTAGTCTATGGTTTGAAACGTGTCGAATCGGGACGGTATCCACGGGAATCAACTGTGAATCCTGGAAACTCCAACTCACTCCAAACATTCATTTGAGCGGCTTGATAGCCACATTCCTGGCGGCAAATCGTTCCAGTAGCTGCGTAAGACGGACATGGTGTTCTTTCTTATTAAGGCCAAAAATAAGGACATCATCTTGGTATGCAAGTACACCGTCCAGTCCTTTGATTACACTGTCTATTGCCGATTGAAAGAGGCCAGACGACACATGCAATCTGAATGGGAGAAAATTGTACTGATACATTCCCCACTGCGTGTTAATTGTTGTCAAGGAGCGAGATTCGGCATCGAGTTGTTTCCCTGCTTCCTTACAGGTTTCGTTCCTGCAGTTTGCTGTATTCAATAGAACTCGCAATACGCACAGAAGCAAATACTTTTTATAAGACATAAACCAGTAGCATTGTAATTCATGTACAACTACAGAAGCATGTCAGCCGGTACTGGCCGTACAATTCATCAGCAGTCAGCCAATCAGTAACAAGCATACATGTAGTGCAGTCTGATTGGCCACTGTAATCAAGGTAGCGTGTGAGGAACGTCCATGTCATGTGCGTGTATGTTTGCATGTCTGCGTGTGCGTCTGAGTGTGTGCATCGCGCATTGATGTTGCGCGTTCAATGGGAGCAATATATACAAGGGTTATCGAACAAATGCGTTAGATTACACAACATCAACTCCTTCCTTTTTTAGTGTTTGCAATAGGTAATAATCAACTGACGTGCTTTTCCGGATGGAACGTCTGGGCTGTGTTTTATATTGCAATAGGAGCTGTTGCTATGTACCAGGTACCAGGTACCAATAGTTTAGACCCTATGGGAGTCGAGGAAACCACCGCTGCCTAGCTCAGCTTGCAGTAATGCTCCGGTTTCTTAACGGGACTTGTTTTCGGAGAGACCTTAGCAACGTATAACTTAAAAATCGCCTTTCTGGTTGTCTTATTCTTCCCTATCGTAGCTGCTAGACCTTGCTCTGACGTCTGCCATGCACCTTGCTTTCGGGTATCATGTTCCATCTNGATCTATTTTTTTGCAATTGCTATGCATTTCTTCCCGCACCGCGAGATTTCCGAATTCAACTAGGCCTAGATTTCCTTTGCTACAGTTTCCCTGCTGAGTGTATTGATCGCTTTATGAAAATCCTTCCTGTAAAATCCAGTCAAACCACATTTGATCCATATTTTATGAATTTCACGTTTCATTTGCCCAACATCTCAGGCCTCATGCATACATAAACATTGGACGTTTCATCTCCTTTGTATATTTGAACATCAATATTGTTATTTGACTGTGCAGGTGAGCAGCACCCAAACTCTATTTGTTTTATTCGCAACATTCGAGTGCAGCGTGACGGTGAGTGTGCTATTCTCAGCCAGATTCATTGTCTTCTTTTCAGATTTGTTGAATTACTCCCACAGTAACACTTGGCTCTTGTTTTTAAGTTGTTTCGAGATCACTTGGAGGTTTGTACATATTTTATAATAATAATATTAATAAGTGTATATTTTACGGATACCCGTGAAGCATCAAATGTACAACATAATCATCCTTATATGGGAAGCCGAAAAGGAAAACTTTGAAGATCGCATTGAACATAATTACAAATGGAACACAAAGTGGATAAGGTGTCAGAGAAAAAGATTTGAGATGGCGGAATACTCCAAAAGGACAAGTCGGTGGAAGTAGGATGAAAAACAACAATTTTTGTACCGGATGAATGATGAGATAATTGGAAATACGACATTCAGTGAGTAAAATAACAGGAGGCAGCCTGCAGATCGTTGGACGGGAATGGACAGAAGTAGGGGTCACTCAGAGTGTGCATGATGGGGAAGCAGCCCAGTCATTGGAAGATTTTATTGCATCTTGCTTCTGGTTTTTCAGTTATACTCCGAATAAATTCACCACTAAATATCTTGCCAATCTAACGGAAAACGCCCTTTTTTCTTACAGCAGCAGATCTCTGAAAAGGAAGACAGAAACGCAAAACAGTCTAAGTTGTAACCTAGCTGATGAAGGAGTGGGAGGGAAGGAAGCATGCAAGTTATCGTGCAATTTAATCCAAGAAGTTCCGGACAGGCTTATTTGATCGTTTAATAATGCAATATCTGCCTCACACGCGTAGCAACGCTTCGAGCAGTTTGAGCATAGCTTACGCAGAGCGCTCCGTTAGATCGCATTCCTTTTTTGTTCGTACGTGCACTCTTTTTCAATGCCGTTGTTTCTAGGGGGAAATGCTGTTGTTGTACATATTTTATGTTGTCGTTCTCGGTTCTCGTTAGGTCATCGGTCGATAAGGGTCCCGCATTCAACGATTCGTCGGGCCGGGACCCGGTCATGATAATTACTATGTGTTTAAACTTCATCCACCAAGCGACGAAACGAATCAGTATGTTCCACAACGAGAAGCATTCTAGTTTCCTCAATTAGAGGAGGTGACGTCGCGTTCCTCCGTTATTACCACTCTTCTGGCTTCTATTAACTCAACGGGGGCGGGGGGTGCAAGCACTGTACTCTCGTCCTTTGACACGGCGGTCATAAATGTCGGGCCGTGGAGCCAACGTGTAAGTTGACCAATGATTTCAAGCCTCGGGAGCAGCGGTCGGCTGGGTTGTCCACAGATTTGACGTATCACCATTGTTGCGCTTTGGTTTCTTTGCGCACTACCGTCAGTCGATTGGAAACCTGAACCTAGTGCTGAAGCTGTTCACATAGTGCG